TTATTACATAGGTGTGTGGTCGAGCTCACAGCCCACCTGGTGTTCAGTGGTTACCGGAGCCCATAGGCATCTACTACGTAAATGCCGCCACCAACTTTGAGATATGAGTTCTAAGGTCTCAAGTAAAGTAAACGGCTGCCCCGCCCTTCGAACCGAAACGCATTACTGCTTCACGGCAGAAATAGGCAGGGTGGTGGTACCTACCCGCGCGGACTCACAAGTGGTCCGACCACCAGTAAAAAAACTTCCCAGTCCCATTAAATAAAAGAGAACAAACTCATTCAACACCGAACAGCAAGCTTGAAAACTCGCTGATCTAAAAATGACCGGCGAACTTTGTCTAATGAATCAGAAGGACTCTCAAGTTTCGATAAGATATTACACGTAGCGCAGATGAGTAGGAGGATATAGCATGTTTTTATAACATTATTAAAGTAGGTATAAAATATGACCCGGAAATTAGTTTACATAGAACATAGATCGCAAACGGTTCGATGTGGAAATAGTGAGATATTTGGCTTGGCATGTAACACGTTATATTAATTAACATTCAAAATATTGATTTGGTCTTTATACTAATTATATTTTTTATTCTATTTTCAATTTCGATAATATTTCGCCATGCCATTTTTAACTTTAAATTTATTTAAAATAATAGCTAACATCTGGAAACTTCGAGACAACAATAGTATGAAATAACGTTAAAAAAAATTTTTTATTTTATATTTCTTGTGAACTTCTGACTATAAATCGACTGGGTAATAATTTTATTGATGACGACGATGACGTAAGTTCGTAAGGATGTGCGCATCAGGAGATTATAATAATAAAAGATACATTAATTAAAAAAACAGATATTGAGACCTTCAATTCATTTCATGATTTTGAAGGAATAATAATATATTCTAATATATATTGATTCACGTTAAGTTGTAGTTATGGGAATAATTTCAAGTCAAAACTCAGCAGATCGAGGATTTATTTAAGTCTCCAAGATCCATCGTAATGTCTTCGTTATCAAATTTAACAAATACAATTGTTTAAGACGAATCAAATCTCAATGGCTTTGAACTTGATGGATAAGCTTTTGGTGATTCGAGGTCACCGTTTTCACCATCGAGGTAGATCATCAGGTCCTCGTAAACAGGTAATAGAACTCATGAAAACTAACAATACCTTACCTTCATCACACGATTCATATCTAATGAAAGTAGAACCAAGTACTTATTCAGCAACCAGTAAAGTTTAATTGCCTGAGAACAGGTTAAAATTCTCCTTAACAAAATATTGTTTATCGTAGTTACAGGAATGTTAAATGCCTACTAAATATAGAATAGGACATAAATTTAAAACCAATGAAGGCTTAAAATTACATATCAAAAATAGAAGAGCTTCATTAGCATAATAATAATATCAAAGAAATACCTTCGACAACATTTTAAATCTTATTGGCATATACGAACTGAGAGTGGTTTGATGAAGAATATTAAAATTACTGAATTAAAACAATAGCCTTATTTTATCTAGATATCAAGAGCGATTCATTAGATTTATAATAACTCAAATATAGACCAAAGTAATTACTTGACATTATTTATTGAGTACTATTAGTTTTGATATGCCAAGAAACTAAACATTTTATTGATATTTTGATTGAACTAAAAATGTTTCGGAGGACATACGGTTGAAGTCTCAATTGTATTATATTAGCGGCTGTTCTCAAAAATTGGTACGAATTTGTTTGAAAAAACACATTTTGTTTGATTAAAGAACAAGGATATTACCAAAACGATGGTCGTTTATTATTATTATTTTCATAGAGCGATTCTTAGTGAGAGATTCAGAGTTCTAAATACATAAATTAGATCCTAAGCTAATAAGCTTAGTTCAGATACACAGGATACACTACTTCATTTTCCTAAAGATACTTCAATTACAAGTTACACGCTAAAATTCGATCGTAGGTTATTCTATTCAATTGGTGGATATTTAACGATAGAATGTTTATTTCAATTTTGAAACAAATTAAGAAAACCGGCTAAGGCATATAAATAAGAAATAACTTTTTTTCGGCTACCTCATCAATTATATTTTAATAACCTCTACGAGTGATTCGTTTTTTATAGCTTTTTTTTTTGTGATAATGAACGAATTTCAAAACGTGTTGTTAAAAATTTACTTACCCCGTAACTTAGTAACATCTATGTACACCTAACTGTAAGAATAAGAAAGTTCTGTTACGTTGCAAAATTTTACAAAAAAACATCGCTGGAAATTCATAGCAAGGGTAAGGATAAGATAAAAATGAATGAATAAAGCGGCGAATACCGGCCTCACTGACTTAAATTGGGAAAGGCCTATGTCCAGCAGTGGACGACCGTGGGCTGCTGATGATCTAAATTCTAAGCAAAGCTTCCGCAATCAGATTAAAACGATCAAATGAACATACATAATATATACCTAAAATACCACACTGTAACTAAAGCCGTTGTTGCTTAAAAGACGCACATGTAATCTTATTAAGCGATGAGACCATATTGGTGTTGCTGTCGCGCAAATGATGCACGCTGGTACCGATTTCTTCAAAGCTAAATTCAAAAAGCGAGACCCGACTTCAGAAATTAAGCCAAAGTTGACTTTCTATGGCAGTTGCGCCCCACCCTCCAAATTGGGATACCTATTTGATTGTTTCGCTGCTGCTTAGTCATCAAGCAAATGATACAATAATATTAAATGTTATGTGAGACTATTTAATATGTCAACGCGTTCAAAATCCTGAACACTCGCACTCGGATACGGCGAATGAATCAAAAGAAATGTTAATGTCAAATGAAAAGGACATAGCTGTTTTAAACTGGTATAATTATATACCGACAATTTAACTTTTATAAGTTCAAGTGAGTCACTTTCTACCAAGACGACATCAGAAATTACATGTCTCGTTTTTTTTTAAATTTAAATTTGTACACGGTAAAACTCTTTTTAAAGATTTCAGTACACACGATTCGTACTTAATATATTTTTTATTTGAAATTACTTCTGATGAAACTATTTTTGAATGCCGGGTCTAAATCGACAAAATATTTTTTTTTTAATTGAAAACTTCATTCTATTTAAGAGACATTTCAATTTTGTCGTAAAACAAAATTATGACTACAGAATAATTACTGAATACGAAAATGTTTGGTGTTCAGTTCATTATCAGTATTTGAAAAATTATAAAAATATTTATTATTCACTTATAAATTGTAGTGTGAAATAAAAATAAGGCAGACGTATTGCGCAGAAAATATTGTAAAATGTGTATGGAAATGGTGTGATGCTAATCAAATTATGCGGAGAGATTCATGCGATATGTTATATTATTTAAACGAAATTTGAATACTGTCCTTTAAAGTATTTCGAATTTATTATAATAGCCTTCTAATCTTACGTCTTGGTAACATCAAAGAATTCCAATATTAATGGACAAAAGTCCAACTGAATGAAATTTACGTCGTATTTCGAAATACATGGGTATTGCATAACCAATATGTAAAGCAATTTAAATTAACATGACATTTGGTAAATTGTGGCGACTTAATATATGTACAAGCGAAATGGAAATTCCCTTCAACATGCCACGAAATGAAATAAAACAAAGTCCCGGGCGTTATCAAGAGCGATTAATGGGTATAATACAAGCATGTATGTATGTACATATATATTTGCGGATGGACAACATATCGAAGAACTCGAAATGGTTCGGTAAAGTACTCTGCTTAATTATTTCAATGTAGATAGATGTACATTTATGTATTATACATATACCTATATGTACTTTCTTGTCTCCTCAAAGTCATTCACTGTACTTCGTCTTACTTCGACGTACTTACTTTCGTCTTCTTTGTCTATTCGATGTTGTGATTCTCGAGTAATTTGTAGTAACCGGTAGGAGCATCTGGCAATAGCTTGTCATGTGCTACTTGCTATTTCCTGCCTTTCCCGCTATTGTCAAATCTCAAGTTTCGATGAATAAGAAAGGAATTAAGAGTTAGAGCAGCATTCGTAATATGTGGGTGGTAGCCATGCTATGATTATGAGCTCCTCCCAACAGCCTCGTGGACCATCCGCTCGCCTAAGTTCGATAGTAACAAAATATGTGTTTAACGAGAATTTTATACACTAGGTGCGCCCAATGTAGCAGACAATTATTATTTTTTAATTTTGATATGTGTTTTCCAAAATTGAAATTGTTTGACATGAATGTATTATTTAAAAAGAAATGGAGCTCACTTTTTTTTAATTGTTATAATATAATATAATAAGGAATAAATAAAACGATTTTAATATATCAATAAATGGTTGCTTTAGATTGTGCTAAAATATAATAGAATTCGTATTAAATAGAATTACAAAATTCAGTTTGATCATACCATCATTACTGATAGTCAGTTTGTTTCGGGCCTGTTTTATTTTAGCCATAAAGCAATCACACTCTTCGCTCCGAAGAGTTAAATAGCCTTTATTTTAATACAATCAAGACTTCGACCCAATGCTTCAAGATGAGCCGCGGTATTCACATTGTTGTAGAACAGCCGACATAATCTGCCCTCGTCTGATGAGTTTCATCAAAATCGATCAATTCCGTTTTTTTTATGCTCCGTCAAATAAATAAACACACAGACGGGATCATCAGCCTCAACAAACCGACACACCTTAACTAAAATCTCACATTAGTGTATAATAGATAGTTCAAAAATACTATTATGTAGGTATTAATGGCTTCGAAACTAGTTTTCAATAAATTAAAAGAATTTACTTTCTGGACTTCTTTTACAAACTAAATCAGGTTTTTTTTAATGAATAAACATAAAAATTACCCTGTTTATTGTAACGCGTGAACCCATTGACATAACCTTGTGTGTCGGATCCGGACGGACAACTGGGCAGGTGAGTTGGTAGTTCAAATATCGGAGAAGTATTTAAGAGGCAGCTCTACAACCGGCACGACACTTGACGCCTCACGTGCTTCGGAGGTTTATCTGTCTCGTTCGGAGCGCTGACGCTACATCATGCTCACGCTTTGGGTATGTATTCAACACTATTTGTGATTTTTTTTTCTTCATATTTGCCATTTATCTTTTAATGTTTATAAAAAAAAAAAACGAAAGCAGATTCTAATCCACACAATAAAACGTAGCTTGGTTTGCGATGCGAAGTTTTCATGGATCGAAATAAAACTATTATTATTTCTAATTTCAACGTCAAGTTTCTGTGCTGTATTAAATATAAATAATTGATGAAATTCTTGTCGCACATTTTTGGCCCGAATACTTAATTAGTGGGAAATATTTTGTTCGTTCTAATTTTATTCATTTCATTAAATGTATCCGCATTTATAACATTTAATATCGTACGTAAACACAAATTCCTAATTTATTAGACCCTGATTATTTTTTTTGTATCCTTGATGTTACAATCACACATGTTTGATGTTGAAATTTTTACATGCATCACTTGAATAGTGTTCGTAAAATATTTAAACAGTTTATTACGATGATCAATGAAAGATATAAGGTGTGCTTAATATTCCGATGACGCTAATAGATACGCAAGGCATATTTATTTTCGAAGACATCATTGTCAACAGAAATGAAATCTAATAATTACATTGCATAACATAAAGATGCTCTTCAAATATTATGTCTAAATATTTTATACGGCTTTGTCTCTTTCGGGGCAAAACCGCAATCAGTAGATTTTTTTTAATCTATTTGAATAGCAGCGAATAAATTATCCGAAATATATTTAAGTACATAATTATAGTATTTTTAAGAGACTGACTAATTAAATATATTATGTTGACAAGATGACTTCCCCAGGTTGCTCGAAAAAATAACTGTTGATAAATGAATTTTCAATTTCAGTAACCTGAAATTGATTAAAATTTTAATGAAATAACCGCCCCATGGAAAATTTTAAACGAATTTAAATAAAAAATATATGTAATAATTCACAAAAGCTTTTATGTATTTGCCTCTTTTTTAACACATACATACATCACCGATAGATATCGTATCTTCATATATTTTTTTTAAATAAAAATAATCTACAAAAAATTCATTAATTTATTTGTTATTCGTGTATAGTAGTAAACTTTAATATACGAGTACTTGTTTCTTAAATTTCGGGTAATTTAAAAGTTTTGTTTTATTTGACTACAGATTAAAATTAGCATTCTTTTTTTTTCAACTTTATACTATACTGAATGGGTTATAATATTATGATTAAGTTACTGTATATTTTTGTATTGCACTAATAAGAAAACATTTTCAAAGCTTCGAGTCGACTATGCTTTAGAATTTTAGATATGATATCATTTTTAGTCCTTTGCAACACCTACACCTAATTAAAATACAGAATAAGAAGAGGTCATTTAGAAGTATTTTTACGTCTCGAAATAACAATAATATTTTAGACAGAGGTCAATTAATGTCCACTTTGTTATTTTAAAGTGTATATCTATGCATATATCCTCATGAATTATGGAATGTGATCAAGACTATTGATTGAATTAATAAAATCCTTATTTACATAATATTCTTTGAAATATATCATTATCATTTACATAATGGTAAATATTGTTGCTACTATTTACGGTAATAGGCCTTTTTAATCGTTTATGTAGGCGGAGAGGATCAGGACGGTAGTGGGAGACGTGGAATGGTTTTTTTATTGCCCTTGTTGGGTGACGAGCATGCGGCCCACATAATGAAAAGTGCTTAACGTCGGTCCTGAATCTCAGAAATGTCAGGGGCAAAGTCAAGCCACTGCCTACCGTGTATGGTCGAAAATTATTGTATTTTATTATATTGTATTTGTTATATTTCTGAATTTAGGTAGAGTAGATCCGAAAAACTAAATAGATATGGCAGTCCCAGAATTGGAATGGCGTTATAATCACCATCAATCATTGGATGCAACATTGGTTTAATCAGTACTAAGTAACAAAAATTACGAAAATCACATCATTGGGAAATTATCAGAAAAAAATAGTTATGAAAATTTTTAAAGCAAAAGACATCCACACTTATACTAAGTTTTTATAGGATAAGTAGATTTTTACTTTTGACTGATTAAATATTTTAATCAAATTTGCTTGTAATTTTCGTACTCTATTTGAGAGGGTTCATAGAATTGGAACAAAAGAACTTTAAATACGTATTCCTCAAATTTCTTTGTACTCGCGTTTCTTCTAAAGCGGGTATCAAAGATCAGAAGCACTACAATATTATTGACTCAGTTAAATACGAATGCGATGACAAAAAACAAAGAGAAATAAAAGGGGTGTCTGCAACGTGCCTATAGATTTTACTGTTTATGACCTTAATCTTTTGTTACCAAATTAAGTATTAATACATATCAGCACGTTACACGTAATATAATAAGTTTAACATAATTTTGGGGTTCGTCAATTTCAATCAACCTGTATTTAATAGCCCTTTCATTTTGCATTTATTTTTATAATTATTAAATAGATAAATCACACACAAATCCATCCAAAAATAGAAAAAAAAATCTAACCGCAACCATTTAACGTATAGGTATTAAAATTCAATATTTTAAACACTCATAAAAGATTTTCGTTTAGATCCGGTTCTTTTTACCTGTCAGTGTTAAACCGCAAAACACGTAATTTGTAACCTTTAAATATTTGAATCAAAATACATGAGCATTCCATTTTCTATCTAATAAGCTATAAAATTTTTAAAGGTACCATTTTAGATCAAAATCTTTCGGTTACAATCCAGACCGCGGAACCGTGTACTTGATAGTTCAAGTTCATCGCACTCGCATCGTTGACCCAAAGTCTTGGCCATCGGTTACGTAACAACGCTTGCCGCGGTACTTAGGGTTCCGAGACATAACATATTATAATACGGAATAACAGAACACACGTGGGCGTAGTATTCGACCTTCCTGTACACACTTTCTCGCGTTGTACGAAAACAAAACACTTGAACGTGCGATTAAAAAGGTATCTATCTAAACAATTCAAACATTCAAACTCGTCCGAACTAATTTACATTTTGTTTTGTTACTCATACTAAAAAAATGTAATAATTAGATGCCTATCAAGATTTTACTTACATACTAATCAGAAAAATAAAGAATACTGTCCATTCGTTTCTTTTAATTCTGATTATCATAAACCTTTTAAACTTTAAAATAAATGATTTTGATGTCTAGGATAACTAGTCAAATTCCGGAGGAGACTCCTCCACACACGTACATTTTAAAATGGCTTTACGGGCATGTTGCAACATTTCTACAAACACAGAGAGGCGATTAATGACTCGATCGGTCCCGTATTAACTGACATTCTGCTTTGCTGACATAAACCTTGCTGCATTTGTATCGGACCACACGTAAAAATACCTTATTTTTAAATAGTTGTAATGAGCTTTTAATAATGAGTTGTTAAGAACGCTAGAGACTAATAGCCCCGTTTTCGGTATTTTATAATTAAAAAAACTTTTTTGTTTCAGATTCTGGGTTTTACGTTAGCAGTGGCTTTGGCCGATGTTAGTCATCTAGGCTATGACTACAAAGTCCCACAAACCTCTTATGGATATCCATCATACCAACTAGGTGAAAGTTCCTCTCACCAACAAAGCTCTAAATTAGGCGATATCTCTGGATTTTCCGGGTCGTCCGGGCTGTCCGGGTCGTCCGGGCTGTCCGGGTTGTCCGGGTTGTCCGGGCTGTCCGGATTATCTGGACTATCTTCCGGTTACAGCTATAAAGGGTCAAGCTTGGGATCCACTTTTGGTTCGACTGGCTACCGAAACCATGCATCTGGATCTGGATATTACTTTGGTGACGCTAATTCGGCTGGCAGTGGATTAACCAATAACTACTACCCATATTATTCTACCTCTGGCGCTGGTTTCAACGGATTGTACTATCCGATTTCTACCAGCAGTGGCTCGAACTCGGAAGTCTCAGTTAGCCCGATATATTCTACAATCGGAGCTGACCTATCGCAAAGCTTGATTCCTACCTATAATTATAATCAATACAAAACAAGTGCTGCCAGCAAATATCAAGAACACTACGTACAACAACAACCAACTCAAGTCTACAAGCACTTCTATGTACACGCTGCTCCTGAAGAACCCGAAATACCAAGACCACGCCCTCCTATTGTACTCCCGCCTGCCCAAAAACACTATAAAATCATTTTTGTAAAAACACCTTCTCAAACCCGTACTCCCCAAATTATTCCCGTACCCCAACAACAGGAAGAGAAAACTATTGTTTACGTCTTGTCCAAGAAACCCGAAGAAGTCCAAGATATTCTTGTACCAAAAATTGAACAAAAACCACCAAGCAAACCTGAGGTGTTCTTCGTCAAGTACAAAAATAAGGAAGATTCGCAAGCGGTCATTAACAACATCGTTAACGACTACAACAAAGAACAGTCTGTATCTTTTTCCGGGCTTGACGATTCACCACAAAACGTCTTTGGGTCTGGAGCTCAGACCATACTTGACTCTGGTTCTAACTTCGGATCCGGTTCTCTTGGAGTCTTTGGAGTATCATCACCTTCTCCTATTCCACTTGGGCACTACACGGAACAGCTGTCTGATTCCCCAGTAGAAATCCCTGCTTCTGTGGGCAGCTTCGGAACTCAAACAGTTGCTGTTAATCAACCTTCTGGTTCTGATTCATTTAGCGCTCATCCTTCTTTAAGCCTTTCTGACTCTAGCGTTCTCAGTAACTCCCCTATTTCAAGCATCTCTTCCGTGTCCAGCGTACCTGAAAGCAGCACGGCTATCAGTGGCAGCGGTACAGTTAGCTCCACGCCCTCTAGTCTCTTGTTGGACGATGTGAATACTATATCTACTAGTCAAGGAGTCCCACATGAAACCTACGGACCTCCAAAATTCCGTGCTAATTAAAATTTGTAATGTACATTAAATAGCAGTTTTTCACTATTATAATACTCTATATATTATTGTGAACATGTACCTACCGATGAATTATAATAAAATCTTTGAATTGATTACATTTTGCTTGAGAAAAATTTAAGCTTACCTTTTCGTACGCATTATCGTGTACTAAATTGATAATTATAATATTAAAAAATTACGTGTTTTTATTTTCTGCTCAGTCAACTGATCAGAAAAAGGTGTGCATAAACAAACATCTCAAAGCTGATCTGCTGTGACTTGGTTACCGGAATCCATAAGCAGCACAACCGAAATATTGCCTCTGACTTTGGGAAAAGTTGTTTAAATTGCTTCAATCCTAAAAACAGCTGCCGTAAGACTTTAAGCGATACTTCTGGGATGGTGAAATCCCGCCTATTTCTGTGTCGCTACTGCCTTTTTATGCTGACAACATGCCCTGTGGTAGACCCATATACATCTATTTCCTCTTTTTTGTTCTTTGTAAACTCTTCAGTTTTTAATTTGTTCCTGTGGGTAATTTTTAAGTCTAAGTACCACCAAGTGACCCACCATATATAAATACTACTCTGAATTATGCCATAAGTAACGACGAAAATATTACTTAGTATATTAGTGGTAGGTAGGGTATTGGAAACCCACACAGGTGGTGCTACTCGTTATACCATTCAATTAATACATCACATCTCAAGTTGGGCTACGGCATCTACGTTGGATATCTTTTGTTTATTATTGAAGGATTACTGGTAGCCCGGAGGCATTTCCAGTTTCACCGGGACAGGTGGGCGAGCAGGGGCTCAACCAGGAGGGGTAGGATTTGCTAACAGCTACCCGAGCGCCCCTAAAACAGACCTAATAACTCAAGAGTAGCTACTTCGCGAATGAATCTCGGATCGGAATCGCGACCCTTTGGGAATATCCGGCGAAACTCAGCGGGCTGATGTATGGGTTAGGTTTCCCGTCGAACTCTTTGGTCTGTTCAACGAGTACGTGTACCTGGGTCTCTGAGCTTGCTCCTAGCGTTAGAGCTAAAGGCGTCTAATGCAAATGTTGAAGTGGATATCTATGAGCTTCAATAACCACTCAACGCCATATGGGCTGTAAGCTCACTGTAAGTTTAAGCGGCTGGTTAATTAAGCAAGGCGAAGCAATATAAAATCGAGTGTTAAAAAATCCTTTCCCAAACTGTAACCTCAACATGAACATAAACTAAACCTAATTTAGTAAATTCAGCTAAAGAAGAAATACGGGTTGCGTTTTATAAGCACTCTAATGCATTCCCTAGTTTCCCTAGTTCACCTTGAGTAATGTGACACTAATGAAATTATTGTAAAGGCGTAGCATTTATATATTATATATACCATTTTCATACCCCTGTGTTCCTTATTCCGTAAATTATCTTATAATATATTATTATATAATAACATATAATTAACATACTCATATACGTATCTCATAATATAATAATTGTACATAGGCATTTTTAACCCGAGCTGAATGCGAAAAACTTCATTCTCATATTTTTCGTTCACTTAACCATTTATAACTTTAAGAAACTTGCACTTGGCAATATACACACAGCGAAGAGCGATGGCATTAAGTTCAGTTCACGCTTAGTCTTTATGACTAAACCACAAACTTTGACCACGTGCATTTCCATTTGTTACATCGCGTCCTATGAAAAAAGCCACCGAAGCAATTCAAGGTAAGGTATCCATTGACATTTTTAATATTATCATCGCAGAAATCACCAACTGTTTTCGTTCGCGAATACCGTTCTCTCCGGTCACCGTCCTCGTCGAGCACGTCGATTGCGACGAAGGGCTCGACAAGCGAATTAACCCATAGACACAGACCACTGAGTTTCTCGCCGGATTTTCTCAGTGGGTCGCGTTTCCGACCGGTGGTAGATTCTGCGAAGCACTGCTCTTGCTAGGGTCAGTGTTACCATCACTCCGGTTAGAGCCCCGTGAGCTCTCCTACTAGTTAACGTTACGATGAAATAGCCTCTCAAGGCTATCAGCTTAGGTAGGGAAAAAAACCGTTCTCTTACACAGCGTATAAAATTGATGTATCTATGTTATACGAATAAAAATCAACTGCGACATGTATGATGGGGCATTACTTGATAAGGGCTCGACCGATTTGACTGATTTATTTTCCATTGTGTTCGTAATTGTGCGGATAAGGTTTATATGAAATTATTATTATATTATTGGAAAACTAATAATAAACTAAATGTAAAAGTCATAAATAATACAGTGCTTCTCTGATTATTTTTTTCGGATTGCTTTCGTAACTATTCTGAACAAATTTTAATGTTACAATGCTATGCTAGTTGAATGATCTAAAGACCAATCGGATCGAGGCTGATCAATTTAATGAATACGTGTAGCTAATTTGTTTTTTATAAAATTACTCTGTTGTGATGACGGCAATATCGTTCTTACTACGCACATACAACTCCAGCTGATTTTGATTTCGAATTCGGAACTAGTCTATTGCAATTGAAGTTGGCACATTGTTGGTATTTTAATAACAGGCCCATCCGCATAACTCAATGACGCTATCTTGATATATGGTGATGGTTTATGTTTAGTACGGACCAGAATATCGCATTCACAAATTGATTAATTTAGCTAATGCGGTGCGGGTCGATAGTATTTCACCAATGGTTTGCATTGTTTATGAAAAGCTCTATTTCGGGGCAGCGGCGCGTGATAAATATAATCAAGTACTACGAGACCTTGTTTGTTGTGTATAAATTCATGAATGCACTTTCCTGTGGCACGCGCGGAATGTTATTCGGAATCGAGTTGGCGCCGGCGCCACATTAATTGATAAAATGGTGCACTCAAAACGAATCATCGATGATCAGCTGTATCTCACGCGTTACGAATCGGTATACGTTGAGAAACTCTGCCTTGATTTAAGAGGTTGCCCGATAGCTACGTACATAATATTTTTAAACACACAGATAAGCTAAATCGATTGCTTTCGTTATTATTCTTTATTGATATTGAGATATTAATGCAATGTCTCATGACTTTTCATCAATGCGAAATTATAGACCACAGGCAATCATTTATTATTTATTTAATTGTTATTGCTTAGATGGGTGGACGAGCTCACAGCCCACCTGGTGTTAAGTGGTTACTGAAGCCATCTACAACGTAAATGCGCCAACCACGTTGAGATATAAGTTCTAAGGTCTCAGGTATAGTTACAACGGCTCCCCCACCCTTCAAATCGAAACGCATTACTGCTTCACGACTGAAATACACAGGGTGGTGGTACCTACCCGCACGGACTCTCAAGAGGGAAGCGACATCCTAAGGTATTGGCTATTAAATTATTAATGTGAAGCTATAATAAAAGGCTAAAATGAAAGGACATTGTTTTATAAATGTTGTGACCTCCTGTTGAGGGGTTGTCCTCACTGAAAGGCACAATCAAATTGCCACATCTTACAGCGCATCTGCTTAAAGCCGTGACAGGTCACATTGTCGTGCCACAGGTTAGTGTTATAGCCATAGCGTGTTGCAGTGGTGAAAGCGGGCAGCATAGTATTTATTGGTCATGGGGATCTTTGATGGAGATCGATGATGACTACGAGACTGCTGTAAGTTTATACTAATTCCATGATAAAGCAATAGCAGAGAAAAAGACAACCGTATTCTTTCGGAAACGATACATAGATCGTATCGAAATTTATAACATTTAGTTTTGTTTGTTTTGTGATTTTTACGTATTTTTACCTACATCCGTTATTGATTGGACTACAAAACAAGGAACATTCAAGTCAAGAGCCGACATTTGCGACTCGGTTTACGCTGAAAACACAGCACTATAGATACCGAACGTGCTAAACTATTGACGTAATGGCTAAAGTCCTACAAAATTATATTTGAAAGCTTATTGATCGAAGTTTGAAAGCATCAAATCCTACGAAAACACAACGCAGCTATCTACATATTATTATGGTAGAATTTTTAGAATCCCTTTTAACATAGGAACGCTGTAAATAGTATTCAAATAAAATAAATAAAAGCAAAACATAAAGTAAACTAAAAATTTTATCGCGAAAATAATGTTAAATTTTTTATGAGCCTACAATGAAATTAGCTTTTTTACTGTGTGTTTTCGTTTTGAATGAAATCGTGTCCGTTTTAAAGGGCAGTGAAATCGTTGACATTTTTCGACTTATATGTGATGCATGCCGACCTCAAACAAATCAGTGTTGCTTTGGAACTTTTGTTTCACCTAAAATAATAATAACTACAGAATATTGTGCAAATTCGTGCCAAATGATTTCAATCGAGAATAATAATTACAATTTATTAGGCGGAGCCCTTAAATTTAATGGCATCGGTCTTATATATGTACCGGAAGCTAATTCAGGGATAACAAGTGTCAAACTTAACGCCGTTGATGTATATTCTACATTTGGATTGAAAGCAAAAATACGGTTGAAAACGAAATCAGGTTTACATGAAACTATAATCGAACCCTGCTCCACTCACGGGTTTGTTTCGAGATACTATGTGTGTACTAATAATTATAATTATTTAAAAAACCCCTCAAGATGTCCTTCTGTTCAGGGATTACCTCTTTTACTGAATGAACGCCTGTTAGGTATTACGGTTGGTATGAATTGCCGAAGACCTCAAATCAAATATGCAGCCGTCAATCCCATGCTGAACTGGATAACAAAATCAGTAAAAGAACTGGAGAGTAACAACAACAATATATCGTTAACGACGATAAATTTTAAATACTTAAGATTGAAGAATTCCTCCGTTTTTGATAGTGAAACGAAAACGACTAGTGTTACACAAAAACACATAAATTCACTTTCATCAAAACGGCATTATACAAAGAAACTGATACAATCTTCTAGTGATAATCAAAATTTTACTACGTCATCACCGAGACTGAAAAAAAAGAAATTCCGTCAACATACATATGTAAATATTAAGAGAAATACAAAAATTACTCCTACAGCTTTAACGATTAGATATATTACGCCTACAGTATTTAGTACGAAAACCACTTTGTTACCCTC